GGGGGGGTCCGCAATACACCCAAACTGTGCAACTTCAGGAAATCCCACCAGAGCACCAGTTGTTCTCTCTAAAGTTTGCTTTGTCCCCGCTCGCCTCCGCTGCGCTCTGACCCCGGTGGCGCCAAGGGGTGCGGGGCTGGTCCAACTAACGCGGAGGTCATCGCGCTCATGTCGTCACACCAGGAGGAAAGGGGGGGGGGGAGGCTCATGTTGCAGGGGACCATGCATCCTCCATGGACGACACGTATGACGTATGTCCTTCACGATGAAAATGGGAGTGTATCCGTGAGGATATCTCTGTAGTGCTGGGCGAGCGGGCTAGCGAGCGGCAGCCGGGGACAAGAAAACGAGTTCAAGAGAGGAAAATGAGTGAACCGAGATTTTATTTCGCAGGACAAAGTATTGTTCTGTAAAGATATTAATGCTTTTGAATCAAGCTTTGAAGATGTACAGCAGTTTGAGAAAACCTCTTTGGCTACATGCTGGCTGTTATAAAAGAACAATAGTCTTTGTACTTTTTCTCTCTTTTCAAAAATAATTCGCTTACTTACCGTCCCGCTGCCACTCGCTTGCCCACCCGTCCGCCCAACACTACAGAGTTATCCTCCGTTTGTCGACAGAGGAGAGCGAGCGGTAGGGGCGCCGTGTGGGTAGGCAACTCGGTCGCGCGGCTGTAGAGCGGAACAGCCAGAGGCATAACCCGCAGGCGCTTCCAAGGGATGAATGTTGAGAGAAAGGCAACGAATAATCCTTATTGTAGTCTTTATTAACAAGATACAATGTCATGGCATCACACAATGGCAGCGGAGTATTCATTTCATTAAAAACAGTACAAATTTGATGGTCCTATTAAGGTCAGTAACAGGTGCTCGGCCTGCATTCGCCGTTTAAGATAAAGCTTGCAAGCAATTTCTATATTAACTGAGGATCGAAGAAAGTCTGGGTGGGTAATGCTGCGGAAACAGACCAAAGTAGGTGATTATAAGAGTGAAATAGCCTCTAGCTGCTGGGACACAGTAATCTACAAGAATCTACTTATAAATAAAATCGTGAGAGGTCCTGGCCCTTTAGGTTTGCGTGATAATACGAAGCCACTAAAGCTACTAATTCTGAACATTCTTCTTTTGTTACTGATTTGACACAAAGTTACTGAGAAGAAGGCAAATTAATACCAAGCTCATAAAAAATGCAACTGTTTTCCCTTCGTTATACAATCCTAAAAAGAACAAAACTTTGTACTTCTTTTCGGATTGAGGGCCGTTTAATCACTGCACATCCAATATCTTACTATAACGCAGATAAAAGGTGACCCTAAAACATCCATGTGCTTCACTTAAAAGAAAACGTGGTGACATAGAAGCGCATATAGTATCGTCCTCCAAACTTAATAGCACGTTCAGTCTGGAACTCAACCTTAAAACTAATGGCTCAAAAAGGAGTGGTAAAACACGCAAGAATTCACCAGAAAAGGAACAAAAAATACAAGAGTTAAAACAATAAATTACACTTTTGTTGTACAGTTCCGAAAAGTGTTCACTTTAACATCCAAAAGAGACACGCAAACAGAAATAAGAGAAACTGGTATTTTTAAATATTTGGTTATGAAAATATTTCAAACTCTGTGCTTATAACAATCCCTTCAAGCTCTATTTTACCGATTCCACCCAATGCACGCCAAGATGCATTCTCCAAATGTGCTCCGTAAAGATAAGGTGAAAATTTTACACACGCGTGCAGAGTGCGACAAGGACACAATTTAGTGCAATTTGTGCCGGGGTGTGGTGCGTTCAAACAAATTCGGTGAAGACGTCTGGTGTCACAATCAGTCGATAGTCACGTAATAGCGCAGGTTAACGTTGGTCGGTAGTCGGTCGTACCATGTGCATTTTAAGTGGCAATAAGTCTGTCGTCCAAAGTAAGTGGGGGCTTCGGAATCCGGAACACTTAATGAGATTCAACCGGAAATCTGTCACTGTCGTGTAGACTCGGAGCTGTGAGCTGGCGCAGAGCCTCCAGCAGCCACGGCTAGGCCGGGGCTGAAGACCTGCGGGCCGTACCTTACGAGTTGTAGGCATGGCGCGACAGCTCGGAGCCGAAGGTGGAACCGCCCAACAAAGGCTTCCTGTAGCCGTGGCCGGTGACGGTGGGTTGCGGAGGCAAGCGGTTGCGGGGCACACGTTGCGTGGGCAGCCCAGAGATGCCACGGACGTACGTGTACGTCACCGGTGAGCGCAGGATCCTTTTGGGGATCTTCTTGGACCGCTTGCCCTTCTTGGCGTCGTCCTGTCGAGAGGCTTGCGCTGGAGCCAGGGGTGGGGCGAGGGGTTGGGGAGGTGGCGGCGGCGTGCCCGTCTCGTTCAACGTGTACGAGCTGTGGTGCAGCTGGTAGTGGTGGTGGTGGTGATGCTGGTAGTGGTGGTGATGGTGGTGCTGGTGGTGCTGATGTCCGCTGTGCGAGTCCTCCAGGCCCAATGACTCCCGCACCGAGTCTCCCAGGGTCAGGCAGCTCAGGCTGCGACGACCGAGCGGCACTATAGCCTGCGTGGAGAGGCTCAGACCATGAAACACCTGCCGGGGGAAAAACAGGAGCAATTTGTTAGAATCCCGTTGATCTGCGCATCCGAAACAATTGGCGGACTTGTGTGGAAACCTACCTTGTGCAGGGTGGAGCTGCCGGCCTTGGGTCGGCGCACCTCTCCTTCGTAGAAGCACGAGTTGGATCGGCTGGACGGCCCCGAGGCCCCGAAGGCGGTCAGCGGCTGGAGGCAGGTCTGGAAGATGCTCATGGAGCCGCCAAGCTCGCTGCCGGAGGAGCCGCCGGAGCCGCTGTCCGAGCTCATCCCCGTCTCCATCCCAAGAGCCACTCCCAGCGCCGCCCCCATGCCCCCGGACGCAGAGCGCGACCCCGGACTGTTGTCTCCCTTGCTGCTGCCTGAGTCCGAGGAGGACTCCGTCATCTGGCAGTTACTGCTGCAGCTAGCACTGCGGAATCCATCGCCTAATGACCATACAAGGAATCACAAGGTTAATAAAGACGAGGTCTCCGGTAACAGGGTGGCCAGAGTCACTGTGCGGCTGGGTGACCGCTACTTACCGGACGAGCTGGATCCATGGCAGTCCGAACTCCCCGCGCTGCCTCCGCCGGGCTGCTTCTTGCTCCGCGGGCGCCGGTTGGGGCAGCGCTCCCTGCTGGGGCTCTCCCTGCTGTCGCGGTCCCGCGACGCGGACGACAGGTTTTCATCCGAGTCCGTCGAGTCTTGGTCGTCCCTGGCCGCCTCCTGGCCGGTCCTGCTGTGGCTGGGACACGGCTGGGTTGAGCTGGAGCGCCGTCCAAAGATGCGGAACATTCGGACGCGGACCGGGCCGCCTCCCGGGGAGTCGCCGTTGCCACCGCCACTTCCACTGCCACTACCACTGCCACTACCACTGCCACTACCACTACCGCTGCCGCCCCAGGCGCCCGCGGTCTGCATGTTGTGCGATGACATGGTTAGGTTCCGGCGCGATGTACGCTGACTGCGAGCTGGCTCAAGGAGGAGAAGGTCCCGGCACGGGGGGCTGGGCGGGCGGGGTGCTCGGTGAGGCGCTGTTCGGTCGTAGCCTGCATGTTAGGTGGACAGGAGCTGGTGCTCGGGTGGGGCGACCTGGAGCCAGGAACCGAAGTGAGGGGAGTGATGCTGGACCGGCGCGGCCCGGGGCTTTTATAGGGCCCCACCCCCACCCCGCAGTGGGGTGCGGCGTGGGGGCTGCGCCGGCGGCGCGGGCCGGCCGCGCGGCGCGGGCGGGCCGGGGGACGCAACGTGCGGCGGGTCAGGTGCCCGCCCCCGGCCCACCTGGCCCTCACCGCCCCACCTGCCTCCCCTCGGCGTCACGTTATTCACGTAACTATTTGGGTCAGTCTAGTTGCACTGAGGTGACGATTTCTCCACCGGACCCGGCCTGCTGCTCGGCCGTCATTATGATGCTGTTTCCCTTTTCGAAGTGACCTTCAAAGCATTATCGGGACGATATCGAAAACACTGAATCGATAATCAGGCACGACTGAGTATTTTTGAGGCAAGCAAAGCACTGCACTGCAACGCCAGCAATTGCGATATCGTTTCGATGTCGACTTGGGCAACTTGTGTCGCTTTTCGTGTCGCTAGCAGTACGAGGGTGGGCAAAAAATCGGCATGCGATATCAAAACGATATCGTTGCGATATCGCAGAAAATTTCGGCATCGCCCAGTTTCTGGCGGTGTGGTCTTAAATTTGAACCATCAGCTTTCATTTTCCATCATCCGCTCTTTTCCGAAACTCTGTTTTCAGTTGTGTTTTGACAGCTGAGGTGCGAGGTACAAACTGGCCAACTTTCCGTGGCATATTCAGAAATATCTCATGATTAATTTAACGCAAATTATGCCTACCGATCAGTCTTTCAGTTAACGTTCCGCCAGCTGGGCGAAGGGAAATGCCGAGTGAGCGGGATACGGCACGGCGTACAGCTGTGACTTGCTCCTTGAGCCCGGCGGGCCAAACTGTGAGGCTTCGCTTTGAAGTCACGAGTCAGCAAGGAGCGACAGCCACTAGCCACAGCTACTAGCGGCAGCTAGTTACACATTTAAAAGTGTTTTTGAATATTTGGATGTTTTTTTCATTTCAGTTTTCAACTTTCAAATGCCGTAATTTAAGAGGGTCGGCAAACCAGCAACAACGCACTCTGAAACAGCCGGTACTCGTTCTTCCCTATAATTGAAAATCTCCAGAAATCCTGCATGGAGTATGGAAACTTCTTGTTGCTCTAAGTTTTTGTTAGTAACAAAGAGACAAAAACATGGGGAAAAGGGCCGTGATACATTGACACGCAATGGAATGATACAACAATCTTGGGCCTTTCGGCTCTACGCAGTATGAAGACAAGGGTGCCTATGACAGACGTTTATTCACGCTGTCGGTAATATGAAGACGGAGCAGTAAGCGTGAACCTTTGCAAAACAAAAAGTTCGTTGGCGACTTGGTGTGGCGCTAACGAGGAGTGCGCCTTGGCGTTCGAAGGGTGTGTCGGTGTCATGCACGCCTCGTTACACCTGCGCGATAAATGAAGGCTCGACGCCATCGTTATCCGCCGCAGGTATTCTGGCGGGTTTGGCGAACGCGAACACGACACGTCGCCGTTTTTAGCTCCGGGTCGGCGAGTGCGCATCCACCCGGCTCTCTGCTATCGGGTGGTGGAGGGGCGGATCACGTCTCTCCGGGTGGCGCTGCTGGAACAGGGAGGCAGCAGGCGCAAAGACCTTTGACTTATGCGTCGCCGCTCTTCGCGCGGAAAGGCGCCCCGGGCGCGGGCTGAAAAAGACTGATGGGAAGAAGGTGGGGGAGAGAGATGGGAATAGGGGGGAAGGGGCGCTGCGCATTAATTTGTCCCCACGTGCGGGCGCTAATAATAATTGTCAGGTGACGAAAAGGGGGTATCCATTCTCGAGAAACATATACAACCCTTGTCACTTTGCCACGCTGCTACCAGCGGCGCGTGTTTGAACATTTATCTTTCTGCTTTCTTCCTCGTTGCCTCTACTCTCTCGGCGGTAGAACATACAGCGCGCACTGCTGTAGCCGAGTGGGTCTGCCCTGCCCACCAGTCATCGGGCACTCCAGCCGCCCGGGAGGTAGGCCTCAGCGGGCACCACAGCAGGGCGGGTCTGCCTACGCTCCGGTCGTCGGGCGCTCCAGCCGCCCGGGAGGTAGACCTCAGCGGGCACCGCAGCAGGGCGGGTCTGCCTA